CCAATGCAAAACCGGCTGCTGCGAATTATCAGCATTACTCCTCGTCAGAACCGATTTCGACAGAGACCATCGTCTTGATCGGTGTGAGTTCCTTTCAAATCGTTCCAGACTTTAAATTGATGGTAGCAGGAAGTTGAGGTGGAGGAGGAGGAGGAGGAGGAAGAGGAAGTGGAGGAGGAAGAGGAAGAGGAGAGGAAGAAAAGGAAGAGGAAAGGGAAGAGAAGAGGAAGTGGAAGGAGAGGAAGAGGAAGTGGAAGAGGAAGAGGAAGAGGAGGAAGAAGAGGAGGAGGAAGCGGAAGAGGAAGTGGAAGTGGAAGACGAAGAGGGCGATGATGAGCATGAGGGTGTTGCAAACCGAAAGGTTTGGTGGGTTGAACAGAGCGAAGAAGGAGTTCTTGTAGTCGAGCTTGACATGCTCTCCCTGAGCTGAGCGTCAGGACAGGGTCAACGCCTGTCTGCTCTTACCGCCGCCTCCTCCTCTCCCTCTTGCACGTCCTCCTGCTCCTCATGCACTTTTGATTTGCCCTGGAGCGATCTAAGGAGAGGGAGAGGAGAGACAAACTTCACCTTTCCTCCCTTTCCTTTTTTGTTCTTCCTCCCCTTGGAACCGAACTCGGGCCTGTAGAACACCTCAGCCTCCCCCTCTGATTTCCTCTACCCTCCCCCTCTGACTTCCTCTACCCTCCCCCTCTGACTTCCTCTACCCTCCCCCTCTGACTTCCTCTACCTCCCCCTCTGACTTCCTCTACCCCTCCCCCTCTACCTCCCGCCACTCTTTTCCTCCCTCGCTTCTTCCCACCCCCCTCTCTTCTCTCACATCCCCTGCCCCTCATCGGCTCCTTCCCTTCTCTCTCACCTCTGCGTCCACTCAATCGCCGAGGCCTTGGACACGCTCAGGCGGACGGGCTTTTCTGGCGCAACTTCAACGCTCAGCGGGCAGGCAGCAGAGCGTCACCTCCGATCTTGACTGTCTCCGTCGTGTCTTCTCGTTCCAGCGTCTGCACGTCCTCGTTACATGGAGCAGACATGCGCGCGTCCTCTCGCCTTGTTCTTGAAGTACGGGTTGGGCCAGAACTTGAACACAAGCTTGTAGCCCTCCTTGTTCTCGCAGACGGCTGCCACAAGTCAGAAGAGCGTGGAAGTGGCCAGCAAACACGCACTAGCACGAATGTCGTAGAGGTAGGACAGGATCTCTTCGTCTCCTTCCAAGATCATGTCTCCAACAATCTCCGTCCTCTGCGAGCAGCGATGAGCAGCAGGTTGAACTCGAGATGAAGTGCCTGCAGCGTTGTGATCCAGAAGTCAGGGATGCAGTCTTCTGTCTCCTTGCTCGCTGTGTTCCCGCAGATCAGCTTGCTCCTCTTGTCGTACAGCTCCTTGCCTGCCACACCTTCAGCTGGCTCCAGCAGCGGCCGGGGACAAGCTCACAAGTTCGATCGAACTCGCGAGCAGCAAGTAGCAGCCTCTCTTCCGCCTTGTCCTGATTCTTCAGATTCGCGTCCTAAACCATCACGTCGTC